CCCACAAGCTTTAGTATGTTGTTTCCAGTTGTTTTTGTAGGTGTTTTTCCCCCCTCTAGACGTTTTCTGATTTCCTTTTTGAATTCTTCTTTTGTTTATTGTCTTTGATTTTACACGAGTGTGTTCTTTTTCACATAGTGGTGAAATTTCCTGTTTTTCTCTTTTTTTAATGTTTTATTTATTTCTAGGGGGGAGAGGGAGAGAGAGAGAGAGAGAGAGAGAGAGAGAGAGAGACAGCATGAGCAGGGGAGGGTCNAGAGAGAGAGAGAGAGAGAGAGAGAGAGACAGCATGAGCAGGGGAGGGTCAGAGAGACAGGGAGTCACAGACTGAAACAGGCTCCAGGCTCTGAGCTGGCAGTCACCACAGAGCCCAACGCAGGGCTCGAACCCATGAACCGTGAGATCATGACCTAAGCGAAAGTCGGACGCTTAACCGACTAAGCCACCCAGGCGCCCCTCCTGTTTTTCTCTTGCTATTGTTTTCTAACTTCAAATTATTATGTTTGGAAAATATACCTGATATGATTTCAATATTTTGAAATGTTAAAAGTTACTTTGTGACTACTATATGATCTATCCTGGAAAATGTTTCTGTGTGCTTAAGAAAAATTATGCATTCTGCTGCTATTAGGTGGACTGTTTTCTATGTGTTTTTTAGGTCCATTTAATCTAAAATGGACTTCAAGTCCATTATTTTAATATTCATTTTCTGCCTCTATGATCTATTCATTGTTTACAATAGGATACTGATGTACCCTACTATTATTGCATTGTTATTTTTTCCTTCTCATCTGTTAATAATTGTTTAATATATTTAGGTGCTCTAATATTGGGTGAATATGTTTACGGTTCTTATATCATCTTCTTAAATTATCCTATTATTATAGAATTACATTTACCTCTATTCACACCTTTTGACTTATTAAACTATTTTATCTGATATAAATATAGCTACCCCTGTTTCTGCTGATGTACATTTTGCATGGAATATCCTTTCCATACCTTCACTTTCAGAAACAAAGAAACAAAGAAATAACAACATCAAAAAGACTCTTAAATGCATTTCCATAATTTTAAGTGAGTTTGCTGTAAGCAGCATATAGTTGAGTGTCACTTTTTTACCCATTCAGATACTCTATGCCCTTTTATAGAGGAATTTAAACTATTTTCATTCAGACTAATTATTTATTAAGAACTTACTACTATGATTTTTAAGTTATTTTCTGATTCTGTTAAAGATCCTTTGTTCCTTTCTACCTCTCTTGCTGTTTCATTTGTATTGATGACTTTTGTAAAATTATGGATTGATTTATTTCTCTTTGTCTTTGTGTATGTACTATAGGTATTAGCTGTCTAGTTACAATAAGGTTTTCATAATATATCTTATAAGTCTATTTTAGACCGATAATAATTTCAATTGTATATAGAAATTCCAAACATTTTCTTGTCCCTATCCCACATTTTATGTCACAATTTTTTCTTCATTTTATTGTTTTTGTCTCTTCATTTTAATTGAGATATAACTGAATTATAACATTATATTAGTTTTAGTTGTACAATATAATGATTCAATATTTGTATGTATTGTGAAAGAGCCACCACAATAAGTAAAGTTAACATTCACGACCATACATAATCATAACTTTTTTTCTTCACGAGGGCTTCTTAGCAACTTTCAAATATGCAGTAAAGTATTATTAACTATCATTGCAATGCTATACATTACATCTCCATGACTTATTTGAAATTTGGAAGTTTGTACTTTTGGAGTACCATCACCCATCTTGCCCACTGCAGGCCACACTTCTAGTAAACACCAATCTGTTCTCTGTATCTACAAGCTTTTTCGTTTCCAGGTGATTAGATTTCACATATAAGTGAAATCCTACAGAATTTGACTTCCTCTGTCTGATATATTTGACTTAGCATAATGTCTACAGTGTCCATCCCCGATATTGCAAATAGCAAATTTTCATTCTTTTTTTAAATGACTGAATAGTGTGTGTGTGTGCGTGTTTGTGTGCGCATGCGTGTGTGCGTTCATGTGCATGTGTATGTGTGATACCTTCTTTATCCATTTATCTATCAAAAGACACTTAGGTCATTTCCATATCTGAGTGATTGTAAATAATGCTGTAATGAACAGTGGTGTAGATATCATTTTGAATTACTGTTTTTGTTTTCTTCAGATGAAACCCAGAAATGAAGACTGAATCATATGGTAGTTTTAGCTTTACTTTAAAAAAAATGGTTTTAGGGGCGCCTGGGTGGCTTAGTCGGTTAAGCGTCCGACTTTCGCTTAGGTCATGATCTCGCGGTTCGTGGGTTCGAGCCCCGCGTCGGGCTCTGTGATGACTGCCAGCTCAGAGCCTGGAGCCTGTTTCAGTCTGTGACTCCCTGTCTCTCTGACCCTCCCCTGCTCACGCTGTCTCTCTCTCTCTCCTAGAAATAAATTAAAAAAGTTAAAAAAAAATTAAAAAAAATGGTTTTAATGTATTTTATTTATTTATTTATTTATTTATTTATTTATTTATTTATTTTTGAGAGAGAGACAGAGCAGGAGATGGGCAGAGAGAGAAACAGACAGACAGACAGAACCTAAAACAGGCTCCAGGCTCTGAGCTGTCACCACAGAGCCTGACATGGGGCTTGAACTCACAAACTGTGACCTGAGCTAAAGTCAAACGCTTAACTGACTGAGCCACCCAGGAGCCCCATATTTTTAACTTTTTAAAAGTAAGCTTTATGCTTAATGTGGAGGTGAACTCATGACTCTGAGATCACGAATCACATGCTCAATCAACTGAGCCAGTCAGGTGCCCCTCTATTTTCAATTTTTTTAAGGAACCTCCATATTGTTTTTTCATAGTGGCAGCACTAATTTACATTCCCACCAATAGCGTATAATTGTCTTTTTTGACATCCGTGCAAACATTTATTTCTTGTCTTTTTGCAAAAGACACTCTAATAGGTGTAAGCTAATAATTCACTGTGATTCTGATTTGCATTTCCCTGATGATTAGTCATGTTGAACATCTTTTCATGTACCTGATAGCTATCTGTGTATCTTCTTTAGAAAAATATCTATTCATTTCCTAGGACTATTTTTTTTTATCAGATCATTTGTTTTTTAGCTAATGAGTTGTATGTGTATTTTTAATATATGTTTTGAATACTAACCCCTTATCAAATATATGATATACAAATATTTTCTCCCATTCAGTAGGTTGCCTTTTCATTAGCTGATGGTTTCCTTTAATGTACAGAAGCTTTTTAGTTTGATACAGTCCCAATTGTTCATTGTTTTCTTTTGTTGCTTTTGCTACTGGAGTCAGTTCAACAAGATCTATGTCAAGGAGCTTACCTACTAAGTTCTCTTCTAGGGAATTGTATGGATTTAGGTCTTATATTCAAGTCTTTCATCTATTTTGAGATATTTTTTGGAAGGTAGAAGATAGTGGTCCAGTTACATTCCTTTGCATATGGCTGTCCTGTTTGTCTGGCACCATTTATTTTTGGCTTCTTTGTAGCAATTAATTGACCATATATGCATGGGTTTATTTCTGGGGTCTCTATTAGGTTCCATTGATCTATGTGTCTATTTTTATACCAACATCATATTGTTTTGATAACTATACTTTTGTATATAGTTTGAAATCAGGAAGTTTTGTTCTATCTCAAGATTGCTTTAAACAATTTAGGGTTTCTTTACGATTCCATATATATTTTAGGATTCTTTCTACTATTTCTGTAAGAAGTGCAATTGGAATTTTGAAAGGGATTGGATAGAATCTGTAGATAACTTTGGTTAATATTAACATTTTAACAATATTAATTCCTCCAACTCATGAGTATGGAATACACTTCCATTTATTTTTTTTTTTAATTTCTTGCAAGAGGGCCTTAAAGTTTTCAGTGTACATGTCTTTCAAATCCTTGGTTAAACTCATTCCTAGGTGCTTTAATAGATTTGATGTAATTATAAAATGGATTTCCTTCTTAATTTCTTTTTCTTGTTCAGTATTAGCATGTAGAAATGCAACAGATTTGTTTTGCATATTAATTATGTATCCTGCAAATCTACTGAAATTTTAAAGTTGTAACAGTTATTTTGGTGGAATACTTAGGATTTTCTATGTAAAATATCATGCGATCTAAAGATAGTGAAAGTTTTACTTCTTATTTTCCAATTGGTGTGTTTTTTGCTACTGTGTTTTTGTTTGTTTGCTTGTCTAATTGCTGTAGCTAGTACTGGCACTTTTATGTTGAATTGAAGTGGAGAGAGTGTGTATCCTTTTCTTGCTCCTGATCTTAGAGAGACAAGATTTTAATGTTTTGCCACTGAGGGTTTGTCATAAATGTCCTTTATTATGTTGAGGTACATTTCTTCTATACCCACTCTGTTGAGAGGTTTTATCATAAAAGGATGATGAATTTTGTCAAATAAATTTTCTGTATATATTGAGATAATCATATGATTTATATTCTCCATTTTGTTTATATGGTGCATCATAGGATTTATTTGTGGATGTTGAAATATCCCTGCATCCCAAGAATAAATCCTACTTAATCATGGTATATGATCCTTTTAATGTATATTTTAATTTGCCTTGCTAATATTTTGTTAAAGATAAAGGGTACAAGTTCAGTAGGATGCAGAATCTCTGATTCTGAGGAAGGTGCAAGAGTGTATTCTTCAAGCAGTTCTGTCAGCTAAGGTCAATATAGAAAATACTATATGTACCATAGTGGCCAAGTTTGCAAGTCTCCTGCACCTTTGTGGTGGAAGTGGTGGATACAGCCATTGGATTCCTTGGAGGCAAAAGCTATTGGGGTTGTTTGATTTTACTTTTGCACCCATGGAAGGAAGTTCTAACCAAAGAGGTCCTACTTGGATCCAAGTTTTGTATGCTGCCACTCAGTGACAATAGCTAGGGTTTTGGCCTCAGAGACATGTGGAACTACTATGGCATCTGAAGCTAAGGCACAGAAGTACTTACATTTAACATAGTGCTGGTATCAGATTTCAGGGCATGTGCACAACACATACTGAACTTGGTCTGAGTCACTGGGACTTAGCATGTGACAAAGGTCCTAGAAGAAAAAGAGGCAGGATGCAGCTGAATCAGGAGCTTACGGCTGACATATTATAGCAGTGGCCTAGGCTCAGGGAAATGGGTACAGTGACAGCATGCCCTGGAGTTCAAAGTGTGTTCTCAGAAACCAGAGGGCAGTATGCAGAAAACAAGACACAGGTCTTAGTGATGGAAGTCAAAGTCCTAACTTAGGAACCAGGGATGAGGGGCATTAACAGCAGCAGAATGGTCCTAGTGTTAGTAATCATATTTGCTACTTGCCATATAAGAAACTAGACATAGCACAGTAGCAGGTACTGATGACAGATCAAAGCAGCAACTCAGGATCTAGAGGGAAGGGCAAAAACTAGCAATAGTATGTATGGCCACAGAAACTCAAAACCACAAATCAGGAACTGTAGGAAGTGCTCAGGGTAAGAGCAGATCAGCTTCAGTGAAACCAAAACTTAGAACACAGCCCCAGATGACAAGTCAAAGGCAAGACTTAAAACACAGGAAATAAAGGACATCACAGCAATAAAGCAACTTATAGACAGTGTGAATCTGAAGAGCAGCAAGCAGCTCTCCTGGGTACAGGACATGACATGGTGAAAATACAAGTACCTGGAAGGAGAAGACATTGAGAACACCAAGGAGAAACTGAGATAGAGTCAGCATTGTGGGACCATGTGGCAGCCAAGGCAGCAAATAGTACAGATTCAAAGAGTGGTGACTAGCATGGAAAGATCATACTATTTTCAATTTCCCTAAGAAGTGAAATCTTTCCAAAGGAATGACTCTGGGTGACAAACAGATAAAGCTGAAGGAAAAAGTAACACAGGTAACATTATTTTAATATTTTTCTATATGACTACTAGAGTTTTAAGATCTGTGGAATACCTAGAACATTGCTTTTAACTTAGGAAATAATTTCTTTTGATTGTATATTACAATCGTATTTATACTGTTTATGAAAACACAGTAAAATGGAGCTAAAAAAAAAAACACAAAAACAGATACTGCTGAAGTCCCTTTCCAGACAACAACATTTCAAAGATAATTGTTTTAATGCAATGAAGGGAATGTAAATGACCAAAAAGAAAAAAAAAATCAGTGAACCAACAGTACACAAAACAGTTCACAACTCATGGGGCACCTCGGTGGCTCAGTCGGTTAAGTGTCCGACTTTGGCTCAGGTCATGATCTAATAGTCCATGGGTTCGAGCCCAGCATCAGGCTCTGTGCTGACAGCTCAGAGCCTGAAGCCTGCTTCAGATTCTGTGTCTCCCTCTCTCTCTGCCCCTCCCCCACTTGCTCTCTGTCTCTGTCTCTCAAAATAAAATAAAGACATAAAAAAAACAGTTCACAACTCAAAGATAAATAATGATATGAATTAAAAGAAAAATTTCAAAAAATACATAATATGAGATTTGTCATGTACAAATATAAAATGAGAGGAAAGCTAACAATGATTATTCTAATATAAGACATTAATATGAAAAATTAATTTTATTATAACATTTTATTTTTAAATATTTATTTTTCAGAGAGGGAAAATCAGGGTAGGGCACAAAGTAAAGGGGGGAGTGGATCCAAAGCTAGCTATTCCCAGAAAGCAAAGAGGACAATAGTGAGTGGGTTGGAACTCTACATCCTGAGATGAGGACCAGAATGGAAGTCTAACAGCAAACCCCTGAGCAACACAGATGACTATAAAATAAAAATTTTAAATACACCATTCAAATTGTGATGTGATTTTTTGACACCCAAAACAATATAAAATAATTCAAATGGCAGTAACAATTTGAAATTTGAAAATATCCTACAGTAAAAACTGAACTGAGAATACACATAAACTTCTTTCTGAAACGCTCAGGTAACAGTAACCTATCTTCTACCAGCCACCAGGGTAACACTATGGAGTATATAATATTCACATTACAGGTAAAGAAATCTTGGCCACACTGGGGCCATGTTGGCATCAGGAGGACCCTTTCCACCCTGGGAGCGGAAGCCTTTAGAGGTTCTGGGGCCGGGACACTGGTGCTTGACAGTCCCAGGCAACTCCAGGGCTCAGCCATCTCAGGCCGCCCCTGGGGTTTCTGAGTGCCTTCCTCAGCTCCGGAGCCAGGGTCCAATCTCCCATCCAGCACACAGGTGAAGTGAACGCCAGGAGCGAGGGTTCTAATGCAGTCTCAGGACAACCTCCCCCCCCCACAACCACCATCTCCTGCAACTGATACATACACACAAAGTCATCTCCTTCCCACTCCTGAGCTTTTCCCTAGCACTTGAGCCCAGGCAGCTCCCTTGGACAGAATGGATTTCCGCTTGATGGCAGTATGGCTCCAGGAATGAATGCCAACCGAATGCCTACCCTGCCCCTCCCCATTCAACCCACCACCTCAGGTCTGGGTCCTCATTCCCTACTAAGGTAAGGACAAACAGACAAAATCAACAACAGCAACAGCAACAAGAAAAAGAAACACCCCCAAAAAAAGGAAAAGCAAAGAAGCAAAAACCAAAACCCCCTTAAAACAGAAACCATGAGAGACTCTTGAATGCTGAGAATAAACTGAGGACTGATGGGGGTGGGGGGAGGGGAAGAGGGGTGATGGGCATGGAGGAGGGCACTTGTGGGGATGAGCCCTGGGTGTCATATGGAAACCAACTTGACAATAAACTACTTTTTAAAAAAAGTAAAAAAACAAACAAAAAAACAAAAAACACACAAAACATGAAACACCACAACACACTCAAACAGACCACAAAACTCCAAACACCAAACAGTAAAAACACACCCCACAACACAGAATGACAAATGAGAGAAACAGAAATAAATCAGCCACCAGGACCCAAGCTGACCACCCAATACACAGGGCCAAACAACCACTGACTGCGAGGGTGGACACCATGGAGGCCTTTCCCCTTCCTTTGATCCTACCCCATTTTTCCTGGCTCCAGCTCTTGGGAAAAGCAAATAGAAATGGACATATAACCCCACCTTTGTCACACTGCTTGTGGGTTTAATGTATATGTGCTTTTTTTTTTTTTTTCTGGGTTCCCTATACATTTTCATTGATATACATCTCTGTTTTTATTCAGTACCATACAATTTTTATTACAATTCCTTTCAGTTTATCTTGAAATCTGGGTTTTGATACCTACAGGTTTTCCCATCATCAAGGTTCCTTTGGGTGTTCAAGGTCCTTTGAGGCTCCACATGAAATATATTATTTCTTCTAGTCTCTGAAGAATCCTATTATTAACATTTCATTGAAACTCCTGTGTTCTTTGTGGAGAATAACCTTTTTAATGATTTTAATCTTCTAATCTATGAACACAGGATATCTTTCCATTCATTTGTTTTTAATTTTTTAAATCAATATCTTAAAGTTTTTATAGAATAGGTTTTTACCTCCATGGTTTAATATATATGTAGGTAATTTATTCTTTTTGGTGCGACTCTAATTGGGATTGCTTTCTTAATTTCTCTTTCTGCTTGTTCATTACTATTGTATAAATACAACAGATTTCCATATATTAATAATATATTCACCAAGTTTACTGAACTTATTGGTTGTAATACATTTTTAGTGAAGTTTTTAGGTGTTTTCTGTTGTTGTTGTTGTTGTTTTTTAATATCCATTCAATGTGGCCCCTGGTTGGCTCTACTGGTTAAAGGTCTTACTCTATCTCGGGTCATGATCTCACGTTTCATGGGTTCAAGCCCCACATCAGGCTCTGTGCTACAGCTTGGAGCCCAGAGCCTGCTTTGGATTCTGAGTCTCCCTGTCTCTCTCTGCCCTTCCCTCACTTCTGTTCTCTCTCTCTCTCTTTCTCTCAAAAATAAGTAAACATTTAAAAAATTTTAATATTTATTCAATTTGAGCAAGAGAGTAAGCATGAGTGAGGGGCAGAGAGGGAAAGAGAGAATCCGAAGCAGGCTCCATGCTCACCATAGCAGCTTATGTGGGGCTCTATATCATGACAGTTACATCATGACTTGAGCTGAAATCAAGAGTCAGACACTTAACAGATGCCCCTTTAGGGTTTTCTTTATGTACTATCAAGTAGTCTCTAACACTGACAGTTTGATTTCTTACAAATCTGTATGCTTTTGTAGCTTTTCTTCCTACTTCATTTATTATTTTAAATGATAAATGTACTTCTGAAAAAACATCGCCTATTTCACTCATCCTCCCACTCACCTCACCTCTAGTAACCATCAGTTTGTGTTCCATAATTATGAGTCTGTTTCTTGGTATCTGTGTTTCTTTTTTCCTGTGCGCATCTGTTTTTCTTTTATATTCTTTATATGAGTGAAATGATATGGTATTTGTCTTTCTCTGATTGATTTATTTAATAAGCATTATATTTATATTATATTATATTAAGCATTATATTATATTATAAAGTAGTTCCAATTTTAACTTTTTGAGGAACCTCCACATTGTTTTCCTAAGGAGCTGCACCAGTTTACATTTCCACCAATAATGCACAAGTGTTCCTTTTTTTTTTTACCACATTCTTGCCAAAATCTGTTGTTTCTTGTGTTGTTGATTTTAGCCACCGTGAAAGGTGTGAGGTGTTATCTCATTGTACTTTTAATTTGTACTTCCCTGATGATAAATAGTGATGAGCATCTTTTCATGTGTTTGGTGGCCAACCAGCTGTCTTCTGTTCATGTCTTCTGCCCATTTTTAATTGCATTATTTGTTTGTTTCATTTTTGTTTTTGGTTGTTGGGTTGTATATCCTGTTTATATCTTTTGGATACTAACCATTTATCAGATATGTCATTTGCAAATATCTTCCCCCATTCAATGGGTTGACTCAGGTTTTTTTATTGTTTCCTTCATTCTGCAGAAGCTATTTATTTTGATGTATTCCCAATAGTTTATTTGCTTCCCCACCTCCTTTCCTCAGGAGACATGTACAGAGAGATGCCGCTATGACCAATGACAGAGTAATTACTACGTGTATCTTCTTCTATGACTATTATGGTTTCAGGTTTCAT